CAATGTTCCCATTTACTTACCTATATCTCTAAGAGGAGATATTCGTGATATGGAAACTTCGTTAATTGATCAAGATGAAAATCCAATTGATGTGCAAGGAGAAAGAATAACAATGAAATTTCATATAAGAGAACGAACTTCTAAATGCGAGCAAGAATCTATTTTAAAAGAGCAAGTATCACTTCTAAAAGAATTGATAAACATTTTAAAATATAAAAAATAGATTTAGATATCTTAAGATAACAAGATTTATGTAGATTCAAAGGAATTAAAATAAATTAAAAAAATTGTGCATATATAAAAAATGACAGATTATAAAAATATTAAATTTAAAATTTCAGATTATCAAAAGAAGAAAATCAAGAAAGAACTTGAGAATGATTCAAAAAAAATTACTATAAAATTAACTTTTAAAAATCTAAGTGATAAAAATGCTAAAGATGTAGTAGCTCTAACACACAAACAATTAGAGAAAGTAATTAATGCATTTAAAAATAAAAAAGGTATAACAATTGAATTAAATGAAGAAAATCTAATGCATAATTCTAAAGTGGAAGGTGGATTTCTACCTTTACTTTTAAGTTTTTTAGCAAGTGCTGCTCCAGTAATTGCTAAAACTACTGCAACAGCATTATTAGCTGGAACAGCTGCAGCTGCTGGAAATGCTATAGTTAATAAAATTGCTGGAAAAGGTGTTTTGTATATTAAAGATAATAAAAGATCTATTAAAGCTAGAAAAGTAGGAAAAGGATTACTAATAGATGAATGGAAAAAAGGAAGGTATTTAGGAAATGGGTATTACTACTATTATGGAAAAGGAACTGGAAACGATAAACAATATAAAAAAGTAGGAAAAGGTTTAATATTAGGTGAAAATTCACCATTTAAAAATATCCCATTATTAGGTTGGATTCTTTAGTTAAATATATATTTATTAAAATATATATTTCATTTAGCATAGGTTCTGAAAGAACCAAGACTTCGTTGGATCCTTTCAGGATCTACCATTTAATACAGATAAAGGAAAATAAAAACGATCAAAACCATTTCTATATTTTCCATTTTTCACATCTGATGATAAATCAATAACAATAAATTTATGTGGTTTTGACCAAACTATTTTACAAAAATTTTTAAACTCTTCTTTTGACATATCATTTGAAACATGGTCATTATAAATATGATTTACATTTTTGGAATCTTGTTTAAACAAGCATATAAAATTTGCATTTTCTCTTATTGTTTTCCTTGGTAGCATAAAATAATTTTGCGCTAAATAAAAACAATCTACATTACTATGCCTTCCTCTTATATAGTATTTTTCACACTTGTTTTGCTTTGTTAATTGTAAATCATCGAATATCATTAAATTATTTTTAGTAAGATCAAGATCTTCAGGTTCTGGTACATCATCTGCTGTTTCATAAAACTGACACTCCATATCTATTTTATTTTTTAAATTTTTTGAATGAACTTCAATTACAAGATCAGGGCTTATTTCCATCTTATCTATTTTATCTTGTAACTTAAATATTTTAAGAATATCTTCTTTTGGTACTTTTTTTTCAAAAGAACTTTTTAATATTTTGTATTCAGGTTGAAAAAGAGATTTTCCAAAAACTTGTAAATTATTATAGTCTAACCAATCAGGTCTTATAAGTAAATTCAATAATAAATTTGTTTTTCCACAACCAGACTTCCCAACTATAAGTCCTCTTATACTTCTTGGTAATAAATCATTATTATGACGATTATTTTTATTTACATTATATGATAAATCTAATACTTCCATTTTCTTATATAAATAATTTTTTTAAATTAAATAAAAATAAAGTAATAAAAAATGTATTGCGTTAAATGTAAAAACAAAACAGATACACTCAACTTACAACATGTTGTAAGTAAAAACAATAGAAATATGCTTCGTGGAAATTGTGCACTATGTGGAACAACAAAAACTCAATTTACAAAAGGAACTAAAGGTGGTGATTTAGTGGAATCTATTAATAATTTTACAAAGAATAAAAAATTACCTTTTCAAAAGTTTAAAGGTGAAATGCATTTACCAGGTATGAACTTTGCAGGACCTGGCACTAATTTAGATGAAAGATTAACTTCTACTGAAATGCCTAAAGAATGGAGCATGCCTGTAGATAAAGTTGATAAAGCAGCTTATATTCATGATCTTGCTTATAAGCATTATCCAGACAAAGAGCATAGAAATTTAGCTGATAAAATGATGCTTGAACAAATGGATGCTATACCTAATCCTACACCTCGTGAAAAATTGGAAAGAAAGATTATAAAACCTATCATATCTGCTAAAGTAAGGTTTGGTATGGGAAATAAAGAACCAATGAGTATTAAAGAATTATGTCAAAAAAACTACCAGCGCACAGGAAAAAAGCAAACGACCTGAAATGGACTGATGAACTTGCAAATGAACTTCATAAACCTGTTATAAAACATTTTAGAAAAAGAAAAGTGATTGTAAATGGAATTGATGAAATATGGGCTGCTGATTTAGTTGACATGCAAGCTTATTCTAAATTTAATAATGGTATAAAATACTTATTAATGGTAATTGATATATTTTCAAAGTATGGATGGATAATTCCACTGAAAAGTAAAACTGGAATCGAAGTTGCTATTGCATTGAATAAAATCTTTAAAATTAGGAAATGCGATAAATTATGGGTTGATAAAGGTTTGGAATTTTATAACAAACATGTTAAAGCATTAGGTGTGCAGCTCTATTCAACTGAAAATGAAGAAAAAAGTTGCGTTGTTGAACGATGGAATAGAACAATGAAAGAAAAAATGTTCAAATACTTTTCTGCTAATTCTACGAGAAAATACATCGATGTTTTAAATGAAATGGTAAATCAATACAACAACACAAAGCATTCTTCAATTAAAATGACTCCAGCTGAAGCAAGCGATAAAAAGAATGAGAACATTGTTTGGCTGAATCTAAATGGTAAAGTGATATCTAATCCTATCAAACCCAAGTTTTCAATAGGTGATAAAGTGAGAATAATTAAAAAGAAAGGAGCGTTTGAAAAAGGATATACACCAAGATGGACTGAAGAAGTATTCACAGTATCACAAGTTCAGTACACAGATCCACCTACTTATAAAATAACTGATTATAATAATGAAGAAATACAAGGTACTTTTTATGAACAAGAACTTCAAAAAACAAGTCAAGAGATATTTAGAATTGAAAAGGTTATTCGTAAACAAGGAAATAAATCATTTGTAAAGTGGTATGGGTATCCTGATACTTTTAACTCATGGGTTGATAATAAAGAATTGAATAATCTCTGAAAGAGATCAATGCTACGCTAAATCTATAAAAAAATTTCTAAATAATTATCTTGCATATATAAAAAATGCAAAACTCTAATGTAAATGTGAATATATGCGTATCAGCTACTTCTGGTAATGCTAATACAAATACTACTGTAACAGCTTCTTCATATTCTACAGCATCTACAAGCAAATAAACAAATCGACGCATGCGCACTGAGCAGAGCATAAAACCAATCTGAAAATCACGTGACGTTACGCAATAGAAACGAAATTGATACTAATTTTTTAGCGTAGCATTGATCACGAAGCGACCTAAAAATTTATTTCTTAGTTATAATATTTATACACACTATGAATGATAATGAATCATATATTTTAATTAAATATATGATTGAAAATATAGTTGAAAATGAAAATGGCCCAGAACTCTCCTTTTCTAACTACTAATGAGCAAATATCGTCATT